AGGGGGGGGGAGGGGGAGGCTCTTTTTATTGGGCAGGAGATTTGTTCGCTGTTTTGTTTACACTTTTTTTTTTGCTTTCAAGAGGGAATCCTATTTGCTGCGGCGTATGCACTTGTTTTGCGAATGGTTGGCGGGTGCTCTGGTGTGGGTTGCTCCTTCTTTCCTTCCAACCTCTCCTCCTGTTTTCTTTGTAAGTTACGCTCTTGTAATACATCTAATCCTTCGGCAATTACGTGGCCTATGTTTTAGGTTTTGCATGTGCCGTAAAACTATTACTAAAATACATTAAACTGGACGAAACCCTGGCTTACATAATACCCACCATACCCTAGACAAACCTATGACCTACTTCTTAGTTACCCTGTTAGATCTCACGGGTAGTGACACCGGGGTCTTATATACATTGTATTTAAATCTTCTTCTTACCTATATTCCCTGATTTGTTGTGCCAAATGTCCACCCTTAAAACTTCGTTCCCAGTAAAACATAGATACTGTCCACCCTTAAAGCTATGCCATCAGGAAAACATAAATATATACACTGTCCACTCTTAAGGCTGTGCCACCAGTAAAACATCTACACTATCCACCCTCGAGGCTATGTCACCAGGAGAACATAATATATACACTGAACACTCTTAAGGCTGTGCCACCTGTAAAATATCTACGCTATCCACCCTTAAGGCTACGCCACCAGTAAAACTTCTGACACTGTTGTGCCAAATGCCTGTCCTTGCTGTAAGGCTATACTACCCGAAAAAGTCTACATTGTCCGTTTAACACGAGTTCATTCAACTTTTTAGGATTGGGTAAAAAAAAAACACCCAATCAAACAACAAATAAAAATCTAGATCTATGCCAAGCGAAGACAAAGCAGTCCAGTTCGATTCGTTTGACACAATGTACTGTGCCAGTAGCTGCTGTAGTTCTTTTGCACTTCAGACTGGTTAAGCGGCCACATATTTCTCCTCCTGCGGACGCAAAACAAAAGTTTGGTCATCCGGGTTGAAGAGGGTGTAAAACTGAAGTTTAAAAGAGTTTTAGTTTTAGTAGAGGTTTTGCGGCGCTCACAACTGCATAAGGTCATATGAGCGCCAGAATATTAGAGTTGTTACAAGAGAGTCACAAACATATAAAAGAAGGAGGGGAGATAAGGACGATAGATGTTTGATAGGAAAGAAGAAGCAAACCACACCAGAGCACCCGCCATCCACCCACTTTAAAAAGAGTGTTGAAGTTAAACGGTCGTATTAACTATACACTCAGTCAACATACTGTGTTGTTCTGCCTATCTGTATAGGCTTAATTTTTTTTTTAATACTGTAATCATATCAACAGCAGTGTAGCTAAATAGCGTTAATTGTCCATGCTGATGACGTGATATGATATTATTATGATGTGATATGATTTTATTATGATGTGATAATATGATATATATATATATATATATATATATAGTGCTGTGATATGATGTAAAGATGTGATATGATATGATGATGTGTTATATCATAATGGGAAATGATGTTATACTGATGAGATATGATATTATAATGGTATTATAATATATATAAATATAAAATTGTGATATGATATTACAATTGTATTGATATGCTATAATGATGTGATATGATATAAGATGATGTGATACTATATATGATAAGATAAGATAAGATAAGATACATCTTTATTGTCCAGATCCTGACATATTGGTTTGGTGTTCCACCACGTGTACACACACACACACACACACATACACATACACACACATACACACACACACACACACACACACGCACGCGCGCGCGCGCACACACGCGCACACACATGCACACACACGTAGGCTTACAATCATATGCTTAATATAAATGAGCAGCAATATAAACAATAATAATCGTAAGCTAGATAATGATCTTGATGGTACGATACGATATGATATGCTATTGTAAAAAACATGCTCTATCAAAAATATATTTATTTGAAAGGACCAATAAAAAAAATCCCTTTTCTTATTACGTTTTTGGTGCTGTATCCTCTTGTTGAGCTTACCTCACACAGCTTCTCTTGATCAGCGTAGACCTGCAATAAGTTGGCGGGTGTCCTCCGTATATCATGCATATTTTGGGTGAATGTCTCGTAGGCTTGCAGCATCTGAGAGGACAAAAATAAAACTATAGTTGCTGTTGTTGGGAGGGGGGGGTGTTGGGTTTTTTTTGTTTGTGTTATTTGGGGGTTTGGGAGGGGGGTGTTGTTGTTTTTTGTTGTTTGTTTTTGTGTGTGGTGGTTTGAAATGTGCGTCAACATTGCATTTGGTCTGTTGCTCGTGTGGCAATCAAGGTTCGGACATCTCCTACGATTACCAACACACCATCCAGCACAACGTGCCTACCTCCAAAAATTCGATGGCAACAAGGCTAGAGGGCGACCGAGAAAGACATGGATAGATGGAGTCAGGGAAGCATTTAAACACCCACTGCATCCCCCTGACCCAAGCTCTCCGGCTGGCGACAGAAAGACGTCTCTTTCTTCCCGCGACACCCAAAAGGGTATAAGCGGTGGATAAAAGTAAAGTAAAGTAAACTCGTGTGGCATATTGTGTGTCTGCTGGTGTGACTGACGTATTGTTTCTCTGTCTGCCGGTGTGACGCATTGTGTGTCTGTTAACTTAGGCTGCTACATCCTTAAAGAGCGAAAGACTTGCTCGGAGAACAAAGACATTAGGAAGGAGACTCTCTATGCTTGTCGTGATATGGACTGTCCCCGAGGTTTTATGCATCCTGCATAATTTAGCTAAATTTGATCATTTTTGGCATAATTTCTGATTACTTTCCTTTATCATTCTTTGTTAAAATTAACAGAATCGTATAATTTCACATTTTTGTGCTCCGTTTGCATAATTTCATTTTTTTTTTTTTTTTGCTTGAAACCGCGGGGACAGTAAAAGGCGCTGTGTGATAAATTAATAGTAGCGAATATGTTCTTGTGCACATCAGTACCTATCGGCGTCTGTGGTGTGGCGGCTAGGTGCTTCGCTACCACGCACAGAAGACTCAAGTTTGAGTCCCGAGTGGAGAATATTTGTGGGCTCTATCGAGTATCTCTGCCTTTCTGCTTGGATGTATACCCTCTCAGCGCGGGTTGGTCCTGACAGGCAGGGTCGAAAGTCAGCCTCCAAAAACATCTTCAGTGTGTCGATGGAGAGGTAAAAGCACCTACATTTATCAAATGTTTTGTTTGTTTTTTGGACTCGACACAATTCTATCATCTGGCGCTTTTGTGTTTAGCGGTCACAACTAAAGTGGAGCATTTCGGATTTTGAAATAAGCTGTTAGTCTTAGAGCAAACACTCAGTGGAATTTTTAAAATATAAATAAATAAGTAAATAAGAAATAACCGATGAATTAATGAACTAATTAATGAATAAATGAATATTTAAATAAATAAATAAATGAATAGATAAATGAATGAATGAATGAATGAATGAATGAATGAATGAATGAAAGAATGAATGAATACATTTACAGTACTGTTCCCATTTGTTAATAAATGATGTATTTGCCCATGAGTACCTGCCAAGCACATCGGAGCGGGGACATCCGACCTGTGCTTGTTGCTAGCCCTGGCACCAGCACACTCCGGATCGGCTCATTTCCCTTTGTGTTGTTGTGTCGTCGCACTGAAACAACACGATACGACCGTCACACGACAGACTACGACCGTCACATGACAGACTACGGCCATCACACGACAGACTAGCGCATTTCATGAACAAAGGAACCTGCGCTGAGACGCGCAACAATGGTAAGGTAGGCTAACCTGCTGAAAAAAATCTAAACGTTCATAGAACAGGGTTTGTTTGTTTTTCATTGTGGGTATGTGTGTGTACGCGTGTGTGGGTGTGTGTATGTGTGTGTGTGTGTGTGTGTATGTATGTATATGTGTGTGTGTGTGTGTGTGTGTGTGTGTGTGTGTGAGTGTGAGTGTTTGTGTGTGTATGTGTGTGGTGTGTCTGTTTGTTTGTTTGTGTGTGTATTTGAAGGAGGAGGAGGAGGAGGAGGAAGGGTAGGGGTCTTTCTTTTTTCTTTTTTTCTTTTTTCCCATCCCCTCCCCCCTCTTTTTTGGTTAGAGGAAGGTTGCCTATTCAAACTAACAAACTATAAAAGGGAAAAGTTTTATCAGCGCTTCCATTTTTTCACCATGCCATCATTCTGCACTACGTGTGTCACTGCAGTTACTGTGAGTTACATGTTTAATGAAAAGCCCCAAAAGACACGATTCGGTGAAGTTTCGCCGTTATGCATCACCAACTACTTTATTGTCAAACTAACTTTTCTTTGAAAAGCTGAATTCTAAAGAATTGATGTTGCAATGGTAATAACTGTAGGCTCAAATTACATGACATATATTGTTACAGAGTAGCAAAGAAAATGCTGGACAGGATTCCATAAGGTAAGAGATCAAGGGGAAGGCCACGTGAAACTTGTAGAATAGTCGTTAATAAGAGTGTAAAGAAAAGTGGGCATACATTAAATACTATTAAGAGGTCAAAGGGTGAGAAAACTGCAACACAGGCTCCGGGGTTGTACAAAGTTACTGCCTTTTCCAACATTGAAAGGTTATGTAAGAGGCAAGGCCACCCAACGTAACGTCCATCTCCGATCGGACCGAGCCAAGAGGGCAGACTGCCTTAAAATTTCCCTAAAACATGCTAAGTTCAGAAATCTGCGTTGGGATTCGAACTAGTGTCATCCGATATGTAATCCAGCGTTATATCAACTGGGCTAACACTGTTTGTTTGCTGGCCCCTGTAGTAAAGGAATCATCATCATCATCATCATCATCATCATCATCATCATCATCATCATCATCATTATCATTCAGTGCCAGATCTGCGACAGACATCGCCAATCATGGTTCTCCCTACATTCATTCCTTTGCTCGGATGCTCAAAAAAAAAAGCTACGATTCCCTGACCTTTCCCCGTTATCCATTATTATGATTAGGTTCCCTGCCCTAAGTAGGTTGCGCTGGGCTTACCCCTGCCTAGTTTGCCTTAAATTTTGCCAGTGAGAGCTAGATGTTCAAGACTTAAATGTCTATTCAGGTGTCCTAAAAACAGCATTTGTCGTTTTCTGACTGTTTTTAACAATGGGCATCTCACGTGAAAATGATAGGCTCTATAGCAGCAGCGCAACCATTCCAAATAAGCCCGCTTGTCAGGAAAGCTGCTCCAAGTAAGGGAGGTAACCGTAACAATATACATCCTGCTTTTTTCCCCAACATGATTTGCTTTCCAAAAATCTGCCTGTTTGTGGGGGTTTTTTGTTGTGTTTTTTTAGGGGGGGGTTGGGGGGGAGTGTCATGTAGTTAACTTACAAACATTGTCTCATTTTGAATGAAAGCATGGATGGAAGGAAGGCAGAATATTATACTTAGTGTGTCTCTCAATGTCATGGTATATTATTGGTCTATATCATTGTTTGAAACTTTGACGAAACTAAACAAAGGAACAACACGGCTTGTTGGGGGCTTCATTAATTAAGAAGAAAAAAAGTGGCGTGAAAAAAATTTAGTCAACAGATATAATAATGACTTCGAAGGACTTCTTTGAATGTGCCACATGTTATATGACCTAAATATTCAAGGCGCTCTCGTGGTCTAGAGGTTACAATGTTCGCCTCTCATTCAAAAGGTCCCGGATTCGAAACCAGACAGACACGGAAAATTTTCTACTCTACAATATTCTCTTTTCATCTCCTGTCCTGCTCTCTAACCATGTTATGTCGTCTGCTTTCGTCTCCACTTAGTTGTACACGTTAAAGATCCCTTGGCGGTCCAAAATCGATAAGAGTAGACTTCGGCCGCCACCCAGGCAAAATTCAAAATTAATTCCTACCGATTGAAAATGTATATATTATGTGTCCCTGCGCTCATATGACCTTATGCCTTGTGCAGTTGTGAGCGCCGTATAATACTTACGAAAAAAAAATATTCAACTTTGTAGGTCTAATCGAACGGACTTGGAAGTAAAAAAGTGTACTTCTCACTCAAGAAAGTTACTTTTGAAGTCTTGTGACATCTTAGCTTTCGATCAAAGGGGATGGATACAAAGTAATAAAACGTCGGTTTAACTTACGGAAGCTATTCCTTTAGATAAAGTATAACGCCATACTTGAGACAGCGTGAGACATTTGGTTACAGAGCACTTGACCCCTCCCCCCCACACCCCCTCCCCACCCATCCCCACCGCCTTCGACCAAGTAGATTGGAAGGAATTTTTACAGTAACAGAATGAAGGACATGACACATCTGACTGCATTCGGGTTTGAATCCTCTACCTCCGCAGCCCAGTATAAGGTCAAAACTATCAGCACCACACCATTCAAACACGCTCACAATGTAAGAGAAGGACTCATCATCATCATCATCTTCATCATCATCATCACCATCATCATCATCATCATCATCATCATCATCATCATCATCATCATCATCATCATTATCATCATCATCATCACCATCATCATCACCGACATAACAATTGCCTTTTGTCATTTTATGTATTTCTTGTTTCTTTTTTCTTGAAACACCAATTTGCACCATGTCAATACATTGTTACATAACATACAAAATGGGTGACGACGTGGTGGAATCAGGCGCTCGTCAATTTTTGGACATGTGGAGTTATTGGTATCATCTTAAAGCTTGTTCAGTTGTCTTGCTATTGGTGAAATAGATACCCATCTATCTTGAATAGAAGTCAAAATATTTGAAATTGGACAATGTTGGGAAACCTGGTTTCAAAGGTAGAATTAGCGAGAAAATAGGCGTAAAAGTCTGGTTATTGCCAGAGCTTGACAATCCGAGGAAATTGAAAACTTACATTTTGTTGTGCCTTTAATCAACCTTTTTGGGTTTTTTATTCATTAAAATTGGACAAGACAGGTGTTAAGGGGAGAAAAAACCCAAACTGGCAGGAAAAATACCAGTTTCATCAATTCCATTATTTTAACTAGCGCCTGATTTCATCACACTGCTGCCTCACAAATATCGGCATCAAAATCAGGACACGGGACAAAAAGCAACAACCAACAGACAAACAAACAAACAAACAAACAAACAAAACAAGGACTCACCAGCAAGCAGAACTGCCCGGAACGACAGGTATACGTTCACTGTGTCTGCCACGTTGGACGGAACTCTCATGGTGGGAGTAGAGATGAGGTACTTGATGGCTTTTCCTTCATTGAAGGGAGACCAGTCCTTGGACGCATCCCTTCCCTCCTCGTCATAAGCCGGCATCAGAATAGCTTGCCCCTGAGATAAAAAGAATAAGTTGACTCACTGAAGACATGCGTTCTGTTTATTGGACAACTCTAATGAAGAGAGTTCTGTTTATTAGAAAACTCTTCAAGAAGACACATGGTCTGTTGATTGGACACTGTTGAAGACAAGAAAGAGTTCTGTTCATTGGACAATTCTTCAAGAACAGAGTTCTGTTTATTGGACACCTCTTGAAAACATG